GTGAAACTGCCTATAAATGTCACTTTTAACAATGTACCAGAGGTAGCAGAATTCTACTGCAAAAGTAATAATAATACTTTGTAGGTCTTCAGGAATTATACTATGTAAGAATTTTATGTGAGGAATCCTATATAATAAAGAGCTAGTATGCAAATGGTCATCACGCCCTCATGTCATCACGCCCTGTCACGCCTTAACTGCTCAGACACTCAACACTGGGGAGAGAAGAATGGGGACCAGCCAGGCACAAATGAGCTCACGAGAGAGGAATGGAGACCACCCAAGTTGCAGCCCGGGAGAAGGACAAGCTGCCCGCCCCGTGGTCCTGTGTGCCAGTGGCTGGGGCTGCGGCCTGGGAGAGGGACAAGCCACCTGCACCATGGTCCCAGGCACCTGCAGCTGCAGCTGCAGCTGCAGCCCAGGTGAAGCTGCCCACCCACAGTCCCCTGTGGCTGCGGCGGGCCCTGGCGAAGCTGGCCTGGGTCCTGGGTGTCTGCAGCCAGCCAGAGGGAGGGAAGCCCAGGTCCCACATGCCTGCGACCGACCAGAGGAGGAACTCCTTGGTCCTGGGTACAGGGTGAGGCAGAGGCGGTTAGGGGCAATCAAGCCAGCAGGGGAGCAGTTAGGGACAATCAGGCCAGTAGAGGAGCAGTTAGGGGTGATCAGGCAGGCAGGCAAGGTGGTTAGGGGTGATCAGGCAGGCAGGTAGGTGAGCAGTTAGGAGCCAGCGGTCCCAGATTACAAGAGGCAGTTGGAATCCCCTGAGGGGTCCCAGATTGGAGAGGGTGCAGGCCAGGCTGAGGGAAACCACCCCCTCCACCGTGCACAGATTTTGTGCACTGGGCCTCTAGTCTATATATATAAAAGGTTAATATGCTAAATGTCCATCCAACTGGTAGCTATGACATGCATTGACCACCAGGGGGAAGACATTCAACGCAGGAGCTGCCAAGCTGCAGTGACTTGGCAGGGGCAGTTCTAGGTTGACGCACCCTGGAACCAGAGAAGAGGGAGCCCGATTCCTCACAGGGACACACGATTCCACCTTCATCTGTGGGTTATGTTGTTGCCGGGGCACTGTCTGCCCCGAATCTGGTTTACTGCACACTTGCATTTGCATTCCACACCCTGTATGACAGCAACTTTGCAGAGTGCCCTCTCGCATTCCAGGACCCCTTGGGGGATGTCAGAGAGCGGGTTTTGGCCTGATCCCCGCAGGCCAGGCCGAGGACCCCACCTGCCAGATGGACCCTGCTCACTCCGCAGATGCCCTTCGAGCCATGTCCCCCCCAGGTACAGCCAATTGGAAAGGGACCATGGGAGGTTGGCTTCAGGGTATGTCCGGCCCCTCTCACCCAGTCCAGCCCCACCAGTCACCTTCTAATTAATTTCCTGTCAACGTGCATGAATCTGTGCACCAGGTCACTAGTAATATATAACAGTGTCTAATGATATCATCAGAGTCAAGATGGATGTAAATTAGTCGACAAACAGAAACAGCATCAGGAAAAAAAATTCCAGTTTTCAGTTGATAAAGTGGTAGGTAGTTCTTGTAGAAATAATAAAGAGATGCAATATCATCCACTGGACATCCTTTAGGGAAACTAAAGGATATTCTAAACTATGCATTTACTTAATTATATTTTTTAAACAATGCATTTAAATGCTTTTTTTAAATTGTGGGAATAAATAAATCCTGCTCTGTCATACGGTGGCACTAAATCATGCCGTGGCAGGTGAATCTGCCATGAAGACCCTATCACTAGTCATAACTAGGGACATAAGGGAGAGCCAAAGAAAGCCTCCTGGCACTTATGAAGCTCCATACCTCAGACACTTGGAACCTTTCCCGAGGTTGCTCCCCCTTTCAAGGACTTGTCTCCCTCATTCAGAAACTGAAGCAGCCAAACTAAGCTCATCTAAACCACATGCCGCTGAGATCATACCCCCAGATGCCATTCAATTCAATCTTGTATAGTGATGTTTTCCTCCACTGGGTCCCCACTGTCCGGTGATGACCATTCTTGGTGAAAACATCTCTTAGTCAACTCAAGCTGCCATGACAAAATACCATAGATTGGGGGGCTTGAGCAGCAGATTTACTTCTCAGAGCCTGGAGGGCTGAGAAGGCCAAGGTCAAGGTGACGGCCAGCTCGGCCCTCTGCCTGCCCGAAGATGGCTGCGTTCTCTCCGTGTGCTCGCCTTTCCTCGGGACATGCGTGTGGAGGGAGAGAAAGAGCAAGCTCGCTGGTGCCTCTTCCTGTAAGGGCACCATCACGTCTGGCCGGGCCCTGCCCTCCTGACCTCACCTAAACCCAATTACCTCGCAGGTGTGTGAGCAGTGCTTGCAGGGGCTCCTGCCCCAGCCCTCCCTGTGGAGAGCAGCTACATGAGAACCACCGCATTGGCGAGATGCTATCATCATTGAGCGTGTGGACCACCCTAAGGTCAGTCAGAAATAAAAGTAAAGGTTAAAAATATCTTCTACTGTTTTAAATTGAGAACATGAAGACAGACGATAACATGGGGGGAGGAGGATGTGTTCTTTCAAAGCAAATTTTAAAAACCTTGGCTGCAGGTAGGTAGAGGCTTACTTTAGATCCCCTGTCCCCGCCATTGACATAATGTGGGCGGCACACATGCTGCTCCTTGGAGCACAGAAGAAGCACTGAGATAAGATATTAAAGCACTGAGAAAGTCCGTTTGACGTTAAAGCCCTAGGCCAGTGAACTCAGCACCTAAAACTCGCGGAAAACATTGCACCCTAGCCCGGCTGGCGCGGCTTCGTAATTGAGTGATGACCTATGAACCAGGAGATCATGGTTCCATTCCCAGTCAGGGCACATGCCCAGGTTGTGGACTCTATCCCCAGTAGGGGGCATGCAGGAGGCAGCTAATCAATGATTCTCATCATTGCTGTTTCTCTCTCTCTCTCTCCCTTCCTCTCTGAAAACAATAAAAGTATATTTTAAAAACAAACAAAATATACATTGCAACCTAAAAGTCAATTCTCTAAATAAAGGATTTATCTCAGTTTTTAAAGTCTAATAGATAGTAAAACTTATTTAAGAAATCATATTTTATGTCATGTATCTTCCTTTGTTTTCATATTTTCTGTGGCTCCAAAGGGCTGTTGTGAAAAATAGTAAATCACATTTTTTCCTCTTTGTTTCTTCCTGGTTCACATTATCTGGAAACTGGAAACTAATCATATCCTGGCTCACACATTGTGAATGCCTCACTGGATGTGGCACATAAGAGATTAAAATAGGAGTGTGATAAGTAGGTGTTCTGTTTCACAACAGAGTCAGGGAAAGGCAGAGCAAGAAGTGTTCTCAGAGACCATCCAGCCCAATCTCTTCTTTTTCACGTCAGGAATCTGAACTCACAGAGGTGTTGAAACTTGCCCTTTGTCCTGGAGCACACATTTAGTAAGAGACCTATTTTTAAACATTTGTGTCTCAAAGAGGTCTCATTCCTCCACCTTGCTGATCACTGGGAATAAAAGAGGTTGCACCTGAGAACTCCGGAGCTAAACATAAAATAAAATAACATGACCCCCCAAATTACTTGGTTCTGGGGTTGGCAGAAACAGGGGGTGGGGAGGGATGCTCTGGTACCTGGAATTCTAAGTGACTCCTGAAAAAGAAAAGCTGTAGCATCTCGCTGTGTGGCTGTGAGGCAGAGGACAGACATGTCCACTGTGGAGTCTTCTGTCCCCCGCCCCCAGGTGAGCGGAGAGAACCCTGCCGGTACCTGCTGCCCAGTCCGCACCTCCTCAGGCCCATCCGTTCCCCTCTTAGGGCTTTCCAGCTCACATCTTCACATCTTACTCCCTAGACACTGGGTCAGCCGTGGGCAAACTACGGCCCGCGGGCCGGATCCAGCCCGTTTGAAATGAATAAAACTAAAAAAGAAAAAGACCGTACCCTTTTATGTAATGATGTTTACTTTGAATTTATATTAGTTCACACAAACATTCCATCCATGCTTTTGTTCCAGCCCTCCGGTCCAGTTTAAGAACCCATTGTGGCCCTCGAGTCAAAAAGTTTGCCCACCCCTGCACTGGGTGCTCTGCCCAGTCGTAGGAAACTAGTGCTGAGGATGGGAGAATTTTGGTTCCCTCTCCCATCAGGAAACCAAATGGGAACCAGAAAAAAACGTGTATCAAATTTATCAAAGGGGGTTATTTATTTATTTATTTATTTATTTTTAAATATACTTTTATTCATTTCAGAGAGGAAGGGAAAGGGGGGTGGGGGGGGGGAGAGAGAGAGAGAGAAACCTTAATGAGAGACACATCCATCAGCAGCTGCCTTCCGTAGGCACCCCGACCAAGGTCTGAACCCACAACTTGGGTATGTGCCCTGATCAGGAATGGAACCTGTGTCCCTTTGGAATATGGGGCAACACTCCAGCCAACTGAGCGACACTGGCCAGGCAAAGGGAGTGATTTATTATGTGGAATCCCCAGTTCCTTAGAATTCGCCAAATAGTGAAGTTATTTTCACTATTTTAAAAAGACTATTGGAAATCACACATCGGTCCACGCCGATGCTACACAGACTAACTACAGCATCAGGTTTCTTCCCTTTGACCTGAATTATATCGTCACTCAGTAGGATTATCTCAGGCTTATCAGGAACTCTGCACAGAAGTTAGAGATACCTTAGTACTAAAATGAAGAAATCATTACGAAAAAAAAATCAAGAAGAAAAAAAGAAAAATAAATAAAAAGGAAATTTAAAAAGGAAAAAGAAAAAACAAATAAAAACAAAAATGAATAATAATAATAATAAAGAAATCACTACCTAGTAGAAGAAAATCAGGTCCCTTGGAGGATGAGACAAAACGATAAAAGGTATTTTTGTGGACATAAAAAAGATTTGGGAGTACTGATTTTCAACCAAAGAAAACTTTATACTGCGGGACTTCAAAAATTCTCTATGAGAAATCCCCCTCCCCTAGTCCAGCCCTCCCTGTTCCATGGGATAACTCACTGGGCAGGGCAGGGAAGCTTTCCTGTAACTGGTGTCCTGGGATCCTCGGCGGGCCCGGAGTCCTCTCTCATCCTCCTCTATCCAGCTGTGACCCCAGAAGCTGCTCATCCACTTGGCAAAAGACACATCATCATCATCATCATCATCTCTGTGCTCCATGGAGAGGTGATTCAAAACAGCCAAGGCCTGTCTCTAAATCTGGCAGAGAGGAATATTGTCAAACTCAGCTGACTTGATGAAACCTAGGATCTCCCCAAAGACAAAAAAGAAACTGGTGTTTTCAAATGGTCTCCGAAAATGGATCCTTAAAAGGAGAAAGATTTACTAAACAACCCCTTCACCATCAGGCAGCCCCGGGAAATGTCTATTTATAAATTGTGCTGCCCACACGCCCCTCCCCTCCCCCCTGTCTCTTTAAATTGAGAGGCTTTATAATCCTTCCATTGCCAGGCTAGTGCCTCGCAGCCTCAGGGTGGGAAGCACAGTCCACTGCCTGATGTTCCCAGTGCTCTGCTGCCGATGGCTGTGATGGCATCTCCAGCTGTCAATGGTGATCCTGCATGACCCTCATCATATGCCTGTCAGCTCCAGGCCGGCTCTAAAATGGGGTCACTCACAGGGACAGACTGACTGCAGCCTGCAAGATGGCCAGCTATTGGCATGTCATATCTAGAGCTGGATACTCTCCTAATAAATAAAATTGGTGTTGATATAAAATGCAGCTCCTGGGACAAAGGGTGTTTCACTGACATTATTTATACACTAGAGGCCCAGTGCACAAAAATTTGTGCACTCAGATGGGTCCCTCGGCCCGGACTGTGCCCTCTCGCAGTCTGGGGCCCCTCAGGGGCCCCTTCCCCTGGCTGCTGGCACCAGTTTTCCTCCGGCGCCCGGAACCCAGGTCTCTTCGCCGGGAGGGGCCCGGGCCCGGGGGCGTGGCGGAGGCTGACGCAGTGGGCTTCCCTCTTTGCTCTTCGCTCGCCACACCAGCCTTCACTTGCTGCTCCTGCCCGGGGCCAGCCAGCTTCACTCTGTCGCTTGGCGCCTACGTATGCAAATTAACCGCCATCTTCGTTGATGGTTAACCACCATCTTTCTTGGCAGTTAATTTGCATATCGCCCTGATTAGCCAATGGGAAGTGTAGCAAAGGTACAGTCAATTACCCTTTTTGTCTTTTATTAGATAGGTTAAACAAATGTAAATAGCCCTGGCTGGTGTGGCTCAGCTGGTTGGGCGTCATCCCAGCACCGAAATGTTGCCCATTCCATTACAGGACACAGCACATGCCCAGTTGCAGGCTCTGTCCCTGAGATGTTTTGCTCTCACATCAATGTTTCTCTCTCTCTCTCTCTCTCTCTCTCTCTCTCTCTCTCTCTCTCCCTCCCCTTCCCCTTTCCTCTCTCTCTAAAAATCAATTAAAAATCTTTTTCAAATGTAAATAATTTACATGTAAAATGAGCAACTCTTAAGTGCACAGTCTGATGAATTTTCACATACATTTCCCCCTGTGTAACCACCATCTTGCAGGTGAAGACAGAGCATTCCCAGCACACCAGCAGGCTCCCTCTTTCTTCCTTCCCATCCATCCTCTCGCCAAAATATTACTATTTCTGCTCTCTGTCATCCTAGATTAATTTTGCCTACTTTTGAACTTTCTTTCAATGGAATTATATAGCCTGCATTATTTTGTGTCATTCAACATTATGTTGGTGAGACTTATCCATGCTTTTGCAGTAAGAGTAGTTCATGCTGTGTCATGAAAAAAGTGTATGAATATTCCACTTTCTTTTCCCAATCTACTGGTCATTTGGGGCTGTCATTTGGGTTGTTTCCAGGGAGGCTATTAACAACAAAGCTTCTATAAACATTATGGTCCCTGTCTTTTAGTGACCTTTTTTCCCCCAAGGTAAGAAGATTATTGCATATATTGAGCCCCTACTTTTTGACAAGTATGGAGTCAAATATTATACATATGCTATTTTCATTTTAACCCCTGTGACTGGGAGATTTGTATCACATTTTATAGATGAGGAAATTGAAATTCAAAGAGATTATCACTTGACCAAGGGGACATTGCTACTAAGCAGCACAGCCAGATTTGAAGCGTGCATCATAAAAACAAAATCTTGGCTCTTTTCACTACTCTTTCAGTGTTCCAAAGAGACCTTTGAAAAATCTTGGATTTTTAGCCCTGGCCAGCTTGGCTCAGTGGATAGAGTGTCAGCCTGCGGACTGGAGGGTCCCAGGTTCGATCCCGGCCAGGGGCACATGCCTGGGTTGTGGGCTCCATCCCCGGTGGGGGGTGTGCAGGAGGCAGCTGATCAATGATTCTCTCTCATCGTTGATGTTTCTATCTCTCTCTCTTTCTCTAACCTTCCTCTCTGAAATCAATAAAGAAATATATTTTTTTAAAAAAATCTTGCATTTTTAAACACAGGCATTCTTGGCCATTTTCCACATCTCATTGCTGGAGGAATTATGCACATCCTATGGGACCTTTGTTTTTTGTTTGTTTGTTTTTTATCTTTATTTTTCAGATTATTACAGATGTTCCTCTTTTTTCCCACCCATAGCTCCCCTCCACCCGGTTCCCACCCCACTCCAGGCCTCCCCCCCCCCCCCGGCCAATGACCTCGTCCATAGGTATAAACTATTTGTCCAATCTTTTCCCGCACCCCCCACAATCCCTTCCTCCCCAGAATTGTCAGTCTGCTCCCTTTCCATACCCTTGATTCTGTTATATTCACCAGTCTGTTCTGTTCATCAGGTTTTTATTCATTTGATTTTTAGGTTCACTTGTTGATAGATATGTATTTGTTGTCACTTTGTTGTTCATAATTTTTTATCTTTACTTTTTTCTTCTTCTTCCTCTTCTTAAAGAATACCCTTCAGTATTTCACATAATACTGGTTTGGTGGTGATGAACTCCTTTAGCTTTTTCTTATCTGTGAAGCTCTTTATCTGACCTTCAATTCTGAATGATAGCTTTGCTGGGTAAAGTAATCTTGGTTGTAGGTTCTTGTTATTCATCACTTTGAATATTTCTTGCCACTCCCTTCTGCTGCATGGTTTCTGTTGAGAAATCCGCTGACAGTCGTATGGGTACTCCCTTGTAGGTAACTAACTGTTTTTTTCTTGCTGCTTTTAAGATTCTCTCTTTGTCTTTTGCCCTAGGCATTTTAATTAAGATGTGTCTTGGTGTGGTCCTCTTTGGATTCCTCTTGTTTGGGGTTCTCTGTGCTTCCTGGACTTGTAAGTCTATTTTTTTCACCAGGTAGGGGAAATTTTCTGTCATTATTTCTTCAAATAGGTTTTCAATATCTAGCTCTCTCTCTTCTTCTGGCACCCCTATAATTTGGATGTTGGTACGCTTGAGTTGTCCAGAGGCTCCTTACACTATCTTCATATTTTGTATTCTTTTTGCTTTTTGCTTTTCCAGGTGTTTTTTGCTTCTTCATATTTCAAATCTTTGCCTTGATTCTTGGGATCCTCTAGTCTGCTGTTGGATCTCTGTATAATATTCTTTATTTCAGTCAGTGTATGCTTAATTTCTGATTGGACCTTTTTCATATCCTTGAGGGCTTCACTAAATTTCTCAGAGGTTTCTAGAAGATTCTTGAGTAGCCTTATAACCATGATTTTGAACTCTAGACCCAATATTTTGCTTTCATCCATTTCTTTCATTTGTGACTTGTTTCTTTGTCTCCATGTTTTGGTTGCTTCCCTGTGTTTGTTTCTGTGTACTGGGTAGCTGCTAAGTCTCCTTGAGTTGATAGAGTGGCCTTGTGTGGTAGGTGTCCTATAGGGCCCAGTGACTCAGCCTCCTAAGTCACCTGAGGTGGACGCTCTTGATGCACCTCTTTGTGGGCTGTTTCACAATCTTGTTGTAGTTCAGCCTTGATTGCTGTTGGTATCACTGGGAGGAATTGACCTCCAGGCCAATTGGCTGTGATGGCCAGCTGTGTCTACACTGGAAGATCTGTTGCACAGGAGACACCCTTATGGGGCAGGACTTGCTTCAATGAGGCTTTGGTGCTCACTGAGTCTGCCCCTTGAGTGTGTCTCTTATGGATGTAAAGAGTTGTCATCCGGTATGGTCTCACTCTGACCACTGGGTACACTGGCTCTTGGATCTCCAAGGAGGTGCAGGGTCAGCCACTGTCGGGGGCTGCCCAGCAGGAGACATCTGCAGATTCCTCCTCTTTGTAGGGGTTTGGAGGTGCCCACATGAGGCCCAGCTGTGAAGAAAGGCAGGCTGCTGCTGCCGGCCTTGGGCCTTCTTTTGGGAGCTCTGGGGTTCTCTGACCCAGCTGCAGTTTGACAGGTTTTAGGTGGAGAGAGCACAGGCCATTCATATGCAAAAGCTGCTGCGCACAGCTTGGGTTGGGTTGTAAATTGGGTGGGGCGGGGTCTCTGGGAATCACCAGGGTGGAGCAAATAGCAATGGCTGCCAGTCAGCCCTGCACCGGAGAAGTCCCTGGGTCTCTGCACCCTGCGCCCCAGCCCAGGAACAATGATTGCTGTGAGCACCTCTGAGAGAAAGCCGCCCTTGTTCCTGTCCTGATGCCAGACAGTCCAGTTTCTCCCCGTATGTGTCTGGGTCCCCCGAACTAGAGTTCAGAGCAAGCGGAAGCTGGTATCTCCCTCCCTATTAAAAGAGCAGCACATGAAGGTGCCAGCACTTTCTTCACCTCCGCACCTCTTACCAGTCTCAATGTGCTTTCTTCACCTCTCTAGTTGTGGAACTTCCACTCGGCAAACTTTCCCGTGGTTCTGGGTGGTAGTTGTTCTGCCTTTTAGTTGTTATTTTGATGGAGTTGTGAGAGGCAGCAAGTATAGGTGTTCACCTATGCCGCCATCTTGGTTCTCCTATGGGACCTTTGAAAGCTTGCTTCTGGTTTCCTCTGGACTTCACCCAATATGCCTTTCCCCTTTTCTGATTTAGCTTTGTATCCTTTTAGTACAATAATTTTTATCCATAAATACAACTATATGCTGAATCCTGTAAATTCTTCTAACAAATTCCCAAATGAGGAGTGACAGTTGATGTCTGAAGTAGGATTTCTAAAACCACCTGACTCACTGAAATGTGGCTAAAGCATGTTTGGGAAAGGAAGGATGAAGGGGACACAATGACAAACCTTCAATGCCCAGTGGCTACATGGCCATCTGTGGCATGAAACAGCAGCTGAAATGATGTTTGTTGTGAGGGTCAGATGTGATTTTGAAATAATAGCTCCAACCCCAGGAGAACTGGCTCATTGGATCCATGGGCTGCTTTTGGTCACGGTAGCTAAAGTTAAGGGATTAAAAAGTGTGGTTTGGGAGATGTCTGTGGGC